TCTCGTGCCTCAGCCACCAGGTAGCTGGGACTACAGGTGCCCACTACCATACCCTGCTAATTTCTGTATTTTTAGTAGACACAGGGTTTTGCCATGTTGCCCAGGCTGGTCTCAACTCCTGGCCTCAAGTAATCTGCCTGCCTTGGACTCCTGAAGTGTTGGGATTGCAGGCGTGAGCCACTGTGCCCAACTATCTTGTACCCATTTTCTAGTTGAATTTATTTTTTTACTCTTTAGTTTTGCGTGTTCTTTATATAATTCTACGTATGAGTCCTTTGGTGGATATGTGGTCTGCAAATATTTTCTCCCAGTATGTGGCTGGTCTTTTCATATTCTTAATGAAGACTGTCACAGACAGAACAAAAGTTTTTAATCTTGATGAGGTCCAATTTATCAAGTTTCTTCCATTTATGGATTGTGCTTTTGGTTCCAAATTTAAAACCTTTTTGCCTAACACTAGAACCTGAAGATTTTCACTTACATTTTTTTCCCAAAAAATGTTATAGTTTCATGTTTACATGTAAGTCCATGATCCATTTTCAGGTAATTTTTGTATGAGATGTGAGATTTAGGTTGAGGTGTACCTTTTTGGCTGTGAATGTTCAAGTGCTTCAGCGCCATTTGATGAAAAGCTTGTCCTTCCTTCACTGAATTGCTTCGTCAAAATCAGTTGTGCATGTGCAGTATGAGTCTGTTTCTGGGTTCTCTACTGCATTGACCTATCTGTGTATCCCACCACCATTACCACACTGTCTTCATTAGGGAAGCTATATAGTAGCTTTTAATACTGGATAGAAGATTCCTCCTTTACTTTTCTTTTCCAGGATGATTTAGCTGTATTGCATCTAGGTTCATGAGAAGTATCAATCTGTAGTTTTTGTTTTCATTTTTTTTTTGGTACTGCCTTTGCCTTGTTTTGATATCTGGGTAATACTAGCCTCATAAAATAGCTTGGGAACTATTCTGTCATCTTCTATCTTCTGGAAGAGATTGTGTAGAGTGTTACTTCTTCAAATGTTTGGAAGAATTCTCCAGTGAGGCCAGAGACTTGGAGATTTCTTTTCAGGGTGTTTAATTACAAGTGCATTTTTTAACTATTCAGATTGTCTATTCTATCTTGGTTGAGTTTTGGCCTATGTTTTTCCATATACATTTCAGAATAGGCTTGCCTATGTTTAGAAAAAACGTTTCTAGGATTTTGATAGGAATTATAGTAAACCTAATAATAGATGAATTCAGAGAGAATGAACATCTTCATATGTTGAATCTTCCAAATTATGAGCATTGTATGACCCTCCATTTATTTAGATCTTATTTGATTTCTTTGATTTTTGTTTTGTTAAATTTATACCGAAGAATTAAATTTTCTTTAGCGTGATTGTAAGTGGTATGGTGTTTAATTTCAGGCTTCACATGTTCATTGTTAGTATGTGGAAATGCAGCTTTTTGTGTGAATTTGTATTACACAACCTTGCTAAGCTCACTTAGTAGTTCAAGAGATTTTAGTTTTCTTGAAATTTTCTATGCAAGACAATCACGTTATCTGCAAATAGGGAGAGCTTTCTTTCCTTTCTTGCCTTATTACTGTGGCTAGAACTTGCAGTACAGTGTTGAAAAAGAGCAACGAGAGTGGGCCTCCTTGCCTGGTTCCTGATCTTAGGGGAAAAACATTCAGGTCTTTTACCCTAAGGATGACCTTAGCTGTAAGTTTTTTGTAGGTGCTCTTCCCTCTGTTCCTAATTTGCTGAGAGTTTTTATTGTGCATGGGTATTGGAATTTTTTTGCAAATGCTTTTTATATATCAATTGATATGACCATATGATTTTTCTTCTTTAGCCTGTTGATATGATGGATTACACTGACTTTCAAATGTTGAGCCAACTTTGCATTCTTGGAATAAATCCCACTTAGTTGTCATCTGTCATTTTTTTACACATTGCTGAATGTGATATGCTAGTATTTATTGAAGAGATCTGCATCTAGGTTCATGAGAAATACTGATCTGTAGTTTTGTTTCATTTTTTGGTACTGCTTTGCCTTGCTTGGATATCTGGGTAATACGCCTCATAAAATAGCTTGGAACTATTCTGTTGTCTTCTGGAAGAGATTGGGTACAATTGGTGTCACTTATTCAAATGTTTGGAAGAATCTCCAGTGAGGCCATTGAGACTTGGAGATTTCTTTTTCAGGGTGTTTTAATTACAAGTGCAATTTTTTTCTAATGGTTATAAACTATTCAGATTGTCTAGTCTATCTTGGTTAAGTTTTGGCCAATTTGTGGTTTTCTTTTTTTTTTTTTTTTTTTTTTTTGAGACAGAGTCTTACTCTGTCACCAGGCTGGAGTGCAGTGGCACCATTCGGCTCACTGCAACCTCTACCTCCCAGATTCAGCGATTCTCCTGCCTCAGCCTCCCAGGTAGGTGGGATTATAGAGGCACGTGCCAACCAACCAGCTAATTTTGTATTTTAGTAAAGATGGGATTTCACCATGTTGGCCGGATGATCTTGATCTCTTGACCTGCTCACCCACCCAGCCTCCCAAAGTGCTGGGATTACAGGTGTGAGCCACTGCACCCAGCAATTTGGTTTTCAAGGAATTGGTCCATTTGTTCCAAGTGTTGATGTCATAAAGATGTCCAGATGTCACAAGTTGTTCTTATTAACTCTAATTTTAATGGCTGCAGGGTCTGTAGTGATATCTGTCATCTTGATTTGGTGATTTGTGCCTTCTCTCTTTTTATCTTTTCAGTTTTGCTATCTATCCAAGTAAATGGAAAAATTTCCAAGTCTACGGATGAGCCCATCAATGATAGTCTGCATTTCAGTTACTGTTTTTTCATATCTAGTTCATTTGATTTTTTTTTGATGGAGTCTTGCTCTGTTGCCCAGGGTGGAGTGCAGTGGTGCAATCTTGGTCACTGCAACATCTGCTCCCAGGTTTCAAGCAATTCTCCTGCCTCAGCCTCCAAAGTAGCTGGGATTACAGCACCCACCACCGCACCCAGCTAATTCTTGTATTTTTAGTAGAGAGGGGGTTTCACCTATGGCCATGCTAGTCTCAAATCCTACCTCGTGATCCTACCCACCTTGGCCGCCAAACTATTGGGATTACATGCGATGAAGCCAAGCACCCGGCTGCCATTTGATCTTAAAGTTCCCATCTCTGCTGAATTACCTATCTGATTTTGCATGATGTCTATTTTAGTTGTGAGACTTGAACATAGTAATCAGCTGGTCATAGTGACACAACCTGTAATCCCAGCACTTTGGAGGCTGAGGAAGGCAGATTGCTTGAGCTCATGAGTTCGAGACCAGCCGGGCAACATGGTAAAACCCCATCTCTACAAAAAAATACAAAACATTATCTGGCTGTGGTGGTGCATGCCTGTAGTACCAGCTACTTGGGAGGCTGAGGCAGAAGGATCCCTTGAGTCTGGGAGGGTCAAGGCTGCAGTGAGCCGTGATCACACCACTGCACTCCAGCGTGAGCTACAGAGTGAGACCATATCTTGGAAAAAAAAAAAACCCACAGTAATCATAATTATTTATAGTTCTTGCCTGTAATCCCAACACTTGTGAGGCCAAGGTGGTCTCATCACCTGAGGTCAGGAGTTTGAGACTAGCCTGGCCAACATGGTGAAACCGTGTCTCTACTAAAATACACACACACACAAAAATTAGCCCGGTATGATGGCATGTGCCTGTAGTCCCAGCTACTTGGGAGGCTGAGGCAGGAGAATTACTTGAACCTGGGAGGCAGAGATTGCAGTGAGCCAAGATTGCATCATTGCACTCCCAGCCTGGGTGACAGAGACAGACTTCATCTAAAAACAAATAAAATAAAATCCCCTCTCTGATGATTTAATAGTGGTGCCATATCTAAGTTTGAATCTAATCATTGCTTTGTTTCTCCAGAATGCTTCTTTCCTTTTTGCATGCCTTGTAATTTTTTGTTGAAAGGTGGACATTGTATATAGGACAGAAGGTACTAAGATAATAAATCTTTAGTGTGGGGACTTTTGTTGATCTGACCAGGAGTTGGGCTGTATTGAGATTTGTTTTCATATGAACATTACAAACTTCAAATTCCTCTAGGATTTTTTTTGTTCCCACCCCTCTTGGCTTTGGGGCTTCCCTTTGTGCTGCTCCCCAAAGTCTCTCTCTGCAGTTCTCCCTGCTGTTGTTATTCCTGGAGGCTTATTAGCATGCTGGGAGGGGAATGGATTCTCTACCAGTCTAAGCTTCAGTCTTGGAGTGTACGGTGGGCTTGGTCTCAGGTGTAACCTTCACAAGTTGCTTTCTGTTTCTCCTCCAGGGATAGTGCTCCCTCCCATTCCCTTTCTCTCAGCTGAAGTGGGTATCTATGAGTGTTTTCATTCTGCAGACTTGAAGCCCTTTTCTCTGAAGATTGAAATTGCTTTTAGTTGAGATGAGGAGCTAGCGTTGAGAGCAATTCCCTCACCTAGTTGCAATGGTAATTCACCAGGGCTGTCAGATCATGTCCTTCCCCATGCAGAATAGCCTTTTATTCCCTTAAGGGAGAAGGGTCTGAGTAGATGTCTCAGTGGTTCCTGAGCCAGCACCATGACTTTTCTCTGGATTTCCCCTGATCTTCTCTGTGAGAACCAGGTGGGGTTCCTGGAGGAAAAGCCTGCAGAAGGATGTGAGTCTCTCTCTCAGGAGCTTCACACTAAAGCTAGGCCACCGTTGGCTTCACGCAATTGGTCAAATTTTCTAGCCTATCTTTTTTATTTTTTGACACCCCTCCCCGAGACCCTCTAACCTGATCTTTCTATCTA